AAACATAGTGCTCTTGAGTCCTTGTGTGCTCAATGCCACCTGGGATTTGCCTAAATGGAGTTTCCAACTCTGCAGTTCTGGGATCCACTGGTATCTTCTATTTCCAGTCAACATACACTCAGCAGCACAGACACAGCGGCTAAGCTGGTGAGCCCTGAACGCTGGGCTCCACAGTTTTTTAGCAGGAGACTCATGAGCAGGTCATTTAACTGGTTGCCACTTGACTTTCTCATGAGCAGTGATAGCAACATAGCACCCTATGTCATGGCTTGTTTGGGGAACAAAATGGAAGAGTGAGTGAAAATATCCCAGAATATAAAACATATAAAACACAGCACCCTATGTCATGGCTTGTTTGGGGAACAAAATGGAAGAGTGAGTGAAAATATCCCAGAATATAAAACAAATAAAACACAGCACCCAACACACTGAACAAGCTCTTTGAAGTGAATAATTACTTAACAATAAGGTCAGTGATGGCATTGAGACAGAAAAGATTAGTGCCCAGGAGCCCCTTCCTGTGTGTTCCAGTCACAACTGACAGCCTCACTTGGGGAGGACAAGTCCTGTTTCCTAGGGCTGTTTTCAAGAGGAGCTGTTTGAAGCTGTAAATCTGAAAGGGCACCCACAGACCTGTTCTAGTTCAGAAGCTGGAAGCTTTGGAATGACTAAAATCCTGCCATTAATGTGGAGGCCATGGTATCAGGTTAAAGTCTGGGATAATTTGTTGTTGTTGTTTTTCTTTTGAGTATTTTGCCTGTAAGTAGCAAAAATCTCCTGATAACTATATTTTTGGATGTTGGTAATTGTTATTAATTATACACCCCATGAGAATGTTTTTAGAATGTTTGACTTATATTTTCTGACTTAAAAATATTTTTATAGTGGGGTGGTGGTGGCACACTCCTTTAATCCCAGCACAGGAGGCAAAGGAGTTCAATGCCAACCTGGTCTACAAATAGAGTTCCAGGACAACCAGGACAGAGAGACCGTGCCTCAATATATATATATATATATATTTGTGTGTGTATAACATTTGTATATACATATATAACATATGTATATTTTTTATCTTTTTTGTGTGTCTGTGTCTGTTTGTTGGTGCCTGCAGGACCCAGAAGAGGGTGTTTGATCCCCTGGAGCTGAAGTTACAAGCAGTTGTGAGTACTGACATGGATGCTGCCATCAAACTCAGGTCTTCTGAAAGAGAAACATGGATGTTGCACTTTCTAGATCTTTTTCCTACGTTTTGGGTGGCATGTTTTAGCTATTGTATGGTAGTGTGCATTTGTTAATATACAAGGGTGATAACATGAAACCCACCTTGTGGTTTTACTCAGGGAAGTTCTGATTTTGATAATGAGTAGATTTTTTTTTACATTTCCATTTATTATTGCTGAGTGTGTGCACACATACACATATAAGTGTGTCATGGCAAACAAGTTGAAGACAAGGACATCTTTCAGAAGTTGGTTCTCTTCTTTTAATATGGGTTTCAGGGATCAAACTGAGGTATTCAGAATTTTACCAAAATAAATGTTGAATTGTATCATAGGCCCTAGTGACAGAATTTATACAGTTATCTCCCCAAATTATAGGGCTATGGCATCCAGGAATGAACATGATGTGAGTTAGTGTTTTGTCATCAGTTTCTACCTTTTGATTAAATGACTCAACTTCTGATATGAATACAAATACAAGAGTGAATAATGAATGATTTGAATGAAACTTAAGGACTAATATTATCTGCATAATTGGTTCATGTTTACATGGCAAAAATAACACACACACACAAATTACTTCTCCAAGCACATTTACATAAATATCAGATATTTCCTGAAATACTGAAAGTTGGCCACTTCTGAGGAGTTAACCTGTCTTCTGAGTCTTTGCATACTACTTTATTTTACATAAAATATTATAAAGTTTCTCTATTGGTGGTGACTTTCAAAAACAAAGGTGTCTTATCCAGTATTCTATTGCTGGGAAGAGACACCATGACCACCACATTTCTTATGAAGGAAAACATTTAAATGGGGCTGGCTTAGAGTTTCAGAGGCTTTGTTCATTATTCTTATGCTGGGAAACATGGTGCCACACAGGTAGCTGAGAGTTGGTAGCTGAGAATTCTATATCCAGATCCAAAGGCAGTAGGAAGAGAAAAGCACTGGGCCTGGCTAGAGTATTTGAAACCTAAAAGTGAAGTCCATCCTCAGTGACACACTTTCTCCATCAAAGCCACACCTCCTATTCCCTGTCAAGTAGCTCCACTCTCTAGTGACCAAGAATTCAAATATATATAGGACATTCCTATTCAAACCACCTCAAAAGGATTATTAGATGTATTGGAAAATATGCCAATCAATAAATATTTACAGATCTCCAGGAGTTTTGGCTAGAACATAGCTTCCTGTTTCATTTGCTGGTTCTATCATCAACCACAAGCTATCTGGTCTCTGTAGGCTCCCATAACTGATTGTGTCCTACTCACTTAGCAAGCCTATTATAAGCCTCCTGATATGTTTCCAACAGTAAGCACTCAGGGGGTGAGAGGCTCCTTATTTATCTTGTTTCCTATATCTAGAACTTCTCATGGGGAGAGATGTCGGGAACAGTGTTTTCCCAGGCTCCCCTGCAGCTTATGTGCTTACTTGATGAAATTCTGGTCAATGGAAGAGCAGTGGGGATGCTGGGCACAGCACTGCTGCAGGTGCTTCTACCATGCGTCTCTCTCAATTATTTTATCCTTTTGGTTTTCTAGAATGCATAGCAAGAACAGCTATTTTGGATAATAAGGTCCCTTCTTCTTAAGAGACTTTTGTTATACTTTGGTGCTCTGACAATCCTATTGGCTACATGTGCTTCCACGAGACAAACATCTCCAGCTTCCACCAGACACCCATTTCAGAGTTTTGCCATTTTTGGTTAAATATTACCCAAGTTTACAACTCAGATATTTGCTAATATATCCTTCTCTCTAGTGTCATGGTTGTCATTTCACCTTGCCTATGCCCTGCCTTGATTAAAAGCCACACCAAGCAATGAGGAAAAGGGTGCATGACATCACTTGAGAACTCTGAGGGCGTTTTGCATTTAGAAGTTTAAGTCCAAGAGAAGAAGGGTAAAGAAGCGAAGAAGCTGTTCTATTCCCAGTAGCTTTGCTTTATTAAGAGACATTCTAGAGAAAATTTCAAAGTTAACTCCCAAGGTAATGAAACAAAAGCTAGGCCAGATGTCTAAGCTAAAGTTTTGGTCTCAAAATAATTACCTTTGTTAATTACCAGTAATTAGTGTCAGCATCCAAAGCTTCCCTAAAATCCAGGGGAGAGAGAAACGGGAAAGGAGAGGAAGAAAAGTTGGGGAGGGGGTGGGGGAAGAGAATGCAGAGTGAGAGAGAGAGAAGGGGGAGAATGAGGGAGGGAGGAAGGGAGAGAGGTGGGAGGGAGAGAGAGAGAGACAGAGAGAGAGAGAGAGAGAGAGAGAGAGAGAGAGAGAGGCAGTTTTCAGCACAAACACACTTTAGGTCATTAAATCTTCACCCGGATTTGTAGCACTATGAACTCTGGGTTTTATGAATAAGTGGATTTTTTTCTAGTTTATACTGATATCTCCTGCTCTCTTATATACTCTTAACTTGAAGTTTTATAGCACAATTTCTTATTTATGTGTATCTTTTCATTGAAAAGTGATCTTTTCTTCCCACCCTCCCCCATAAGGAATATACTTAGTGGAGCAAACACCAACACACTTTTGCAGAAATTTCCTGGCAGAAATGTGTGGTGTCTCCATGGAGTCTTCCTTGGCCGGAGAACTGGGGGCTGGAATAGCTCAAAGTAGAGGTGAGGTTCTAGAGCCTGGTGGGTAGCCCAGTCTTCCAGCACTTACCAATTACAATAACAGTTTTTAGAAATAACATCCCCGAGCTTCCATTCGGGATGAGGATGACCTTTATGAGAAGAGATGAGCTGTCTGTGTGCTCCTGTATCACTTCATATCTATTTAGGAATGTGTGTGTCTGTGCTCAGTTCCTTTTGAAATATTTAGAGAAAACACTGCTCATTAATTCCTACCAGTAATTCTTTATAGATTTACCATGTCGGCAATGGTGGAAATTTTTTACTCTGTAAATGTATACCTCATCACCTTACATTTAACTCCAGGCCTCCCTCTGGCCCTCATGGAGGGTCAGGTTTTCCTTGATGCCACATTCGTGTCCTATTACTGTACTGATCCCTTCAAGATGAAAAGGCAAAGGAATCACACTTTCTTTCACCCACCTTTGAAGTCTTCATGCTCAGCAGGCGTATCTAGAATTCACTGAGAATTCTTTTGGAATTATTGAAATACACAGACACCAATTGTGCTAGGCCATTGGGATTTCTAGATGTGACATTTACTCACTCCTAATGCTTAATGAGTCAGACCACACACTTCTTCTCATGACTTATTCTGTGTTTAACAATGATTCTTGGGTTGATTTCCGTCTACTAGCAACTTCTTAATTCCATGAAGGAGACAAACTTCACCTGTTTGCAGACGGCATAAAGCTAGTTGGAATGGGAAGGGTATTTTAAGTAAAGCTCACGTTAAGAAAAATTGTGTTGTTTATATTAAGTATTGCTTGTGAACTAAGGGTTTTCTCACAGAGACTATAAAAAAGGGGACGACTTATGGATTCTTGGAAGGCCTGTCTTTAGAAAGGATATATTTAGCACACTAACCCTGTACTGATACTGCATAGGTTTTATAGGTATATACCCAAATTGCCAAACCAATCACATTTGTATATATTCTGCCATTTGCTTCTGGGTTTGTAAGCAGAAGAGCGTTCAGGCATAGTAACCAAAGACACATCTTACCTTCTTTCTATAACTTGATTCTGGCATTCAATATTTCTAACCCATGACCACTGCTCACTACTTTGGGATTAGAACCCCTTGGTGTGATTGCAACTTTTCATTTCATAGCCCCGTTCATCTATACTGTCTTTAGTCTCATACCTCAAGGGCCGTTCTGAACTGCCCGGCTGCCACGGCGTATTTCTTCTGTCTATAGCAAGAGCTGGCATCTTTTAATGCTACCTGGAGCCATTTGTCAATCTGTGGCACGGTGGTGAGATTCTGTGCACTTTCTGGCGGCATCGTGGTGGCACTCTGGCCTGTTGTCTGAAGCGCAGCACACATGTAGGGCTGGGCAAATTCATAGCTCACATCCTCTTCGTCAACATAGACAAGCTTCATTTCGACATCCATTATGTTCTTTAAAGGGATGTGAGGCAGAGGAATGCTGGTGACTAGCTGATTGTCAAGTTCCATTATCTTCGCCTCTTTCTTTCCAGCTAGCTTTTCTTCCCCTTCAGCCTTCCGTTTAAGGGTCACTTTCTCCGACTCATTGCTTTGTTTCTCTTTGATGGCTTTTGTGAGTTTTACTCTCTCAGCTGTGATTTCTGTTTGCTTTTCTCCACAGCTCTTCTTGATTTCGGGTGACACTTCCAGGCTGGTGGGTGAGTTTGTTAAGGTGGACATTTTCTTGCTTGCATTCATCTTTGGAGTAAGGAGGTCACGGTAGATCCTCCTTACCGTAGTCTCCACATTCCTACTCTTGCCGGAATCCATCGGTGCACCCCAGACTCCTGCAGGGGAGAGAAGGAGGAAAGCCATTCAGACAATGATTTTGAACCCCCAGTGGTTTAGATTCGCTGCCTTTCAAATACTGTTTTACTCATCATAGATACTTTTTACTTGAATCAATTGCATTTGTACCATCCACTGGTCATCCTCCCAGACCACTGATGCTTCAATCACAAAGCTCACTAAGGTTAGGACTCCTCAAACCACATCTAGATGTCTGAAAAAATAATTTACAGATGAACAGCACTGAATGAACCTTTTTATGAGAAGCCCAAAGCCACTGGATAGAAAAATCTTATAAATCGTCATAGAAGACAAAAAGTTTTAAAAAGTCCATTTCTATATTAATTTCCTCAGAAAGGTAGGTGATCTCAAACTCATTTCAAAGCCCACTGATAACTGCATGGTGGATTGGAAGCAGAAAGCAAACCCACTTCTTCTGTAAAGCTTCCAGAGATGTGAGCACAGTGTTTCCTTCATATGCTTACTCCATTAGTAACAAAAGCCTCACATTGAAGCATCTTTAAAGACAGCTGTTCTTAAAAACAGGCTTCAGACTAGAAGAAAGTGACCTTGAGTTGCCAGCGACTCTGAGCCACGTGTTCCCCTAGAGTCGGTTGTGTGCTGGTTCTGCAGTATTGACGCTAAGGCGCTTCACAGTATGAGGCGGTTTCACAGCGCACTGGTGCTCACCACACTCAACGTCCGGATCCAGAGGATTGTTGATGCTAACTCTGCTTCTAGATTTGCTGAAAAATAGAAAATGCTCTAAAATCTAGTTATTACTGACTATAATTGGTTCCTATCTTATATGATTTTCTGACTTAATCAAAGTCTGTACTGTGCACAAACTTTTTCTTTCTTTTACAAAGAATCTAAGGGTGCTTCTCCGTGGACACAGTACTGCTTCTAGCAGAACCAACCACTGGGTACTCACTAACTCGCTGCTTAGAGTCTTTCCTCCATGCCATGTTGCGTTTGAATAGAGCTATGGCCTATATATGTATTATGGAAAAATAATGTATATTTATATCAGACACAAAGAGACAAGAAAATAGCCAGAGCACAGCTGACTATGTTAATAAGAGACAAGGAGATAAAAATCTCACGTGTTTCTTTTAACCTACTAAGGGAAAATACTTGAGAAGCTTTTTCAAGCCTATTATTTTGCAAATATTGATAGCTTTCCTTTGTCTATTTGAGAGACAGCAGTTTGGCCACAGAGAACCTTTGAAACATCGTGAACTGAGACCCAAATCAACCTTAAGGAAAAAAGTGCAAGACATAACACAAAACTGTGCTTTAACATTTGAGGTTAAAATTTTTTTCTTTCCCTACCTTTGTAAGTAGTTGTTACAAAAAAGGTTTACATTATACATGAGATATTACAGAAGGCACCATGACAGTTTTATCACCTCATAAGAAAGACCAAATCGATAAGAGAAACTACCGTGAAAGCAAGCGGTTCTGAGTTCAAGTCCCCAGCATCCACATGAAAGTCAAGCATGGCTATGTGAGCCTGTAACTCACTGCTTTGGGACAGAGCCAGGAAAACCCAAGGAGCTTGCTGGCCAACTGCCCTAATGAAAACATTGAGCTTCCGGCTCAGTGAGAGACTGTCTTAAAAAATAAATAAGATGGGGACTGACAGAGGAAGACAGCCACCATTTCTCTCTGACCTTCTATGTTCACCTGCACACAGGTATACACATACACAGAAAGAGAAATATCTAATTCTAATAATAATTACCTTGGGTGTTAGTTATCAAAAGTTAAACACTAGAGTCATGATTGCCTGGCGAAATTTTATTGACAGAATTAATTTCTGAAAGACTACAGTCTTTTCCAAGTTAAGCTCTAGTTCTTCCTAAGGGGGAGGTGCACAGCAGTGAATCTCAGGTCCAGCACCACCACTTCCCTTTGACCAAGGCATATCTTGTAGTAGTCTACCTAAGGCAGAGACAAAGACAGTGCCAGCCATCACTCTGTTCTTGTACCATGAAGGATTTGGGTCGAGTGAAAATAGTTTCAGGGCTTTAGTTGGGATCTCCAGTGGGTGGATTCCCAGACAAACATCTATGTCAGGAATGTTTTTAGTAACAGGTACAGCTTTTGAAAATTTCCTGATACTCAAAATAGCTGCTGGTGAGATTCGTTCTCATACTAGACTATATATAAATATGAACAATCAATGTTGGTAGGTGAGATGTTCCAAGAATTTCTCTCGGGTATCTTATCTCAGCTGTTTACACCAAGCACCGAAGCTGAAACATATCAGCGTGTCTGTAGTTGGTTGCCATAACACTTTGGCATCTACAGCAATACTGCCTATCTTACCAGTGTTGACGTCATATCTTCAACATGTAATTCATAACCATCTTTGGAATTGCTTCTCCTGAAGGGAGATTGTTTCTCCTTCCTCCACTGTCTTCACATTTCCCCTTCCCCTCGTTTCCCCTCATCTCTTCCCACCTGGCCCTGAAGACGTGCCTTTCTCTCAGGGCAAGATGAAAGGTTTTACTGTTTTTTTCTTTTTTCATATGACTGAGGCTTTAGAGTGCTTCTGCGGTGACCCTTAAGCCTTTCTACAGAAATCATCCTTTTAAATGCCCCAATAGATTTGGAGAAACAATAGTAGCAGGCGGGCAGAAAGCAGGCAGCGTTGCTCACAGAGTATTCAGAGGTATTGAACAGATGAAAAAAACCTTTAACATCCAGACATCTGAAAGGTCAGTCATTCCAAGCTTGTTCAAGAAACAAGAAATATAAGTCCCTTGTCCTCAACACAGAATTCAGTCCTGAATGTCAACATGTATCCTTAAATTGACAATTGGAAAGATCAGGGCCCAAGCCAATCTCTGTTTCACAGCGGTGGCAGTTGGGCAAGTGTCTTTAATTTTAGAGGTAGACGATGCTCCTTAGAAAAGCCGTGGGGCTCGGGAGTAGAGCTTTGGGACTGCTCATAGCATTTCCAGGGCTTACAGAACTGCAGGGAAGTGGTGTGGTTCACAAGGTCTTCCCCCTGTAACCTCACACACTGCCCTTATTTCTTACTTACTGAACTTGAGATGAGCAGTCTGCTAATTCCAGAAGATGCTCATTTTCAGACCACCTGCTAGGACTTTCCCATCATGTTCCTACCTCATTTACCTGTCCTAACCCACTCTCTGTCTTCCCCAAGCAGATCAGTTATGTATGCGTGGCTGGCTTCTTCCCAAAAGCTGTCTAAAAGCAGAGTCATTCTCTGCTTACTCAGACATTAGCACAATATTCTCCACAAAGTTGTTCAAAAAATGTAGGTCAAAACATATGCTGTAAAACAAAGACCAGGTTACAGGCACCTAGAGAAAATAAAGCTGGAACCTAAAAAAATCTTTTTTTAGGGTTACATTTTTAGGGTTTTTTTTTTAGGTTACATTCTGAGATGATGATATACCTCCTTCAGTTCCCTTCCCTCTGCCATTTGATTTCTCCTTTTTATCTCTCTTTTCTCTCTTTCAAAATCCTGGTCCTCTTGATCATTGCAGGAAAGGAGATGGAACAATTATAAGAGCCAGGGGAGCAGGGTTTGCCATGAGACTGTGTCTTCTGCAAATGTCAGAAGCCACACCTATAGTGTCTTACAAACATGATCGCCCAACCATGAGCTGGGCAAGGACAGCAATAGCCACACTAATGTGGATGGGGAAATTTGAAAAGCCAGGAAGTCTCAACCTATACAAAGAACTATTGGCAATTATGGAATATTGAATGCAAGAGAAATAATCTCCCACATGAGTTTTTTAAGACCTGGGAAACAATCAAAGTTATTCAAGGCAAGAATTCTATTATGGAGTAAAATTTTCAACCTTCCTTGTCCTTTTAATTATTTCTTATTTTTGAAAATATGTCATTTCCCCTTTTCCTTTCCTTCTTCCAAAGCCTTCCGTATACCCCTCCTTTTTCTCTTTCAAATCCATGAACTCTTTTTCACCAATTATTGCTGCATATCATATACACACATATGTATATACATATATATCCCTAAATATATAAACATCACCCGCTCAGTCTGAAAAAGCTCAGTCTGAATACGTTTGTATCAGCAAGTGTATTCTTCCCTAAAGACTGTTTCTCCACTCTCAGTGTTCCTTACTTGCCTGCAACTCTCTGTGTAAGCAGCCTTGTGGGCTTTCCTCCATTCATGTTGGCACGTCTATTGCTCTTGACCTTGTTCAGTTCATGTGAACGCAGTCATGTTGGTGAGACTTTATGGGTGCAGCTTCTGACATTGTGAGGAGACACAGTCTCACAGCAAACTCCTTTTACATTGTGAGGAGACACAGTCTCACAGCAAACTCCCTGATCCTCTGGCTCTTACCATCTCCCCACCTCTGGTGCCCAGTGATCCTTGAGACTTAGATGCCAGAGCTGCATTGTAGATGTCTGACTGGGTCTGGCCTCTATAACTCTGCATTTTGATTGGTTGTGGATTTATGTAACAATCTCTAACTGTTGCAGACAAATATTTAGAATTTAATTAGGGATTATGATGGTTTAGTTACTTGGTAATGGTAGGATCTCCTCCAAGATCATGACTTCACTAGCCCTGGGTACTGGGCTAGATTTCTTTCTTGTTGAGTCTTAAGTCCAATTAGAGAGCTGTGAGTTACCTCCAAGTAGTAGCATGTATGCATGCTGCTACCGCAACCTTAGTTATCACACCATGTTGTTTGCTGTGTTCATAGGCATCCTAGCTGGATAGGAATGTTGGTTGCTCCCTGCATGGTCTCTCCTAATGCCATGAAAGTTAGCTCTCAAGGAGGAGGCATCAGGTCAGTTCTAGCACTGGAGTCTTTGGGCCCTGTTTCTGAAGACATGATGCCTTCAGCAATTGGGACTTTTATTCCATCTCGGGGGGTGGGGACAGCCAACGGCAATAGCAATAGTCTGCAATGTTCCAGAAATCTCTTGGACAACCCTGACTAACAATTCAAAGGAGGGCT